TATATTCATAGGAGATGCTAGCACTAATATCTCCGCTTTCTAATGAATTCAATCTTATTTCAAGTGATTTATTATAATCACTTAAAGCCCCTTTCAAATTACCTAGCAATTGCTTAATGCGTCCCTCGACGTGGAAGCACATACAAATCTTTACTTCATCTCGTAATTTTTTAGCCAATTCCTCTGCTTTTCTAACCCATTTATCAGCTTCCATTAATTCACCTATTTTTAAATAACAATCAGTCATAACGTAATAAGTATCGTATTCAAGTTGATAAATATCATCACTACTACTGGATGTCGATTTCATATAGGTTAAAGCTTGTTCACAATGATGCAATGCTCCTTGATAGTCGCCTTCATTTTGGTTTTTCACGCCCTTTTCCAAAATTGATTTTATTTGCTCAAGATTAGTCGATTTGCTAGACTTTTCTGCCATATTTGAGATTTAGTATAACAGTATGCAAGAAGTATGCCGCTTAGATAAAAGACCAAGACTCTCTTCTGAATTGACTAAGACCTTAATAGCTATACAAAGAAAGAATGCAGTTGATGTATGTCTATATCTAAATTAGACGTCTTCCACTTTATGTCAAGATATTGAAGTTTGCTTTATAATAAACTCAATAGATTAAATAGAGTCGCCGTAATCAGCTAACGATCAACAACCATGCGTACAGTAAATTATTCTCTTAATATTAATAGGCATCAAATTGATTACGCTCCTTACGTATGATTGTCTTTCTATCAACACTTTTTAAACGTTAGTAATCTACGTCATGTAAAGATACAATTGTAAGCTCACTTATTAGCATATCATTGGCATAAAATCAGTCAATCGGTCGCATTTTATAAATGTAAAATTATTTTGAACATAAATAAAACATGACCATCACAACAGTACTATACCTATTCATGTCGATATTGCATATATCATAGCCAATAAATTGTACTACAGGTAAATATCATTTAGCTCAGTTCAACTCAAATTACTTTCGGTGCCTTCCACTAATGATCATCCTCATCTTACAAAGATATCAATCATCAACATTCTCTCGGTCAATTTTAAATCAAATTTATATTGGTATCCAACAATCCAATTTATGATTTAATGCAAAGAATTTAATTACCATATGTTACAATTCTCCTTTGCAACTAGAAAACGGGTCTTAAACATTATCTTCACTAGTACTCGTGTTCCCAACTAACTTAGGGACCTATCGTAGTTGAACTAACTCTCAGCCACACAAATAAGCTACGAATGAGTAATAGGTTTAAATACTTCACTTTATTTTCGTTAATCTTAGTCGTAAAATGTACTAGAGAAAAACGTAAGAATTTTCTTAGTAATAGTAGTCAAATGATCCTGCAAGTGACTAAATGGAACTGAGCAGCTAAACTAGTACTCCGCTTTTCATAGTCTCGGCCTACGCCGATGGTGCACTGGAGAATATTCTTGACATAGCGACTTCCACTGTAAAGTATACATATCCTAGTATGTCGGTGAGAATATCTATCTGTTGAGTAGCTTGATGCATTCCGTGATAAACGTTGGAAGTTAACACGATATAATTTGCTAGAAATATTCCTG